TGCCCAGGCGGGTCTCGAACCCACGGGCTCAGGCAATTCACTCACCTCAGCCTCCTAAAGCGTGGGATTACAGGCTGAGCCACCGAGCCTGGCTCCAGGTGCTCTGTTATGAAATGTATACCTTATCAATAGTTCTTTAACCATAGTTTCTAGGCCAGAAGAGAAGCCAACAGAGCATCCTCCCACATATCCGCCAAAGTCATTAGGACCACTCCCAGATAAAAATAACCCAAGTGTGCTTAGAACAATATCTAAATGTTATTAGTGCTTCAATAATAGACCACTTTAATCTTACTATTCTCTTGTTATAAGCAAGAATACAGCATGTTTGCCTCAGAATAATTTTGAACTTTGTCCTCAAGCAGTACAATGCTCCCAAGCAATGTCACAAAAAATCTAGGAAGTCTAACACTTTACAGAGCTAAGAATAAGGTTAAATTAGCTAAGACAAATAAGTGGAAATGCAATTCACAGTACTTGGTGGGGAGGAGAAAATCAAGGTTTAAAGAATCATGTATAAACTTAGGTTCTAAGACAGCATTTATTGAGGAAAAGAAAAAGCATTGTGTGAAGTAATCAATATACTGTAATCATGAGTCCTCCCAGAAAAGCAAACAATGCCAGCATCATCCATTTGAGACCATCAGCTCAGTTATTATTTCAACAAACTTGGAAATGTCTAACTTCAACTGGCATACCCCGGATTACAAGTTTCAGACAGCCAAGTCATTTCAGCATTAAAACAATTCACAGGGAGATAAACCACAGTCAAAACCCACAAAAGGATAATGTTATTTGACTAATAAGGAAAACAAAAAGTTAAAGCACCCCAAGATTTAACCCACGAGGCCTGTCACGTGCAGACCGGCTGCTGTGGACTCTTCCTGGGAACCTGCCCACAACAGACAAGGGGCTATCTCAGGAATTTAAAACTTGGTGAAAATTCAGGCAAGAATTTCTGCAAAGGGATGAGATTGTGGATGAATATGGATTTTTAAGAAGACAAGTAACAGTTAAGGGGGTACATATCTTTGTAGCTAGATGACTCTGTCTAGAGGACACATCGAATGATCCCATAGAAATCTCTTCAAGCTGTCACTCTCTGCTCTTATGCAGCATTCAACCAGCGAAGTAAGGGTTTCACACAACTTCCACTGAGAGATAATCGAATGGACCACAGCTACCCTAGGAATTCCATGTAGTGCTAAGAATAATTATAGGGTAACTTCTTCTTGTAATTACCATAAAAATGAGTATAATTCAGAGAATAAAACCAGGAAGATACTCCTCAGGGCTTTCTTGATCCACTGAGCATCATTCTCAATCTCTCACAAAATGATTAAGTGCCTCAAACCAGTTTTCGTTTATAGGTTAGATTTTAAAATGCTGTTTTAGTATAGCTCGGTTAAGGTATCTCTTAAGGCAGATGTGACGAGAGCAAATGAAATGATAAGCTGCCAGCCATTTACATACAACATACATATTTCACCCAAGAATGTAGTTTTAAAAAACAAGTTTAAATCACTGAGCTCTAAACCCGACAAGCCTAGGATAAACAGCGACTTAGCATTCTAATGTTTTCTGTCCATTTTGCTTATTAGACATGGGCATGTCAGTTTTGGTAAAAATGAAAACCAGCCCTAAAAAGATGACCTGGATAAAAGTTAATATTGTCTGTCAGTTTTAGCATGGAGGCAGGCATTCAAGTCTGAATTCCTTTGCTTAAGTAAGAGAGTGATATTTGAATTAATCAAGCTGGCCATGTAAGATCTCTGTCATTCAAAAAATAAAATGTTGCTGCTTTTGAGAAGTGTCTTCCAAAATCAGGCCATTTCTCAATGAAGGATAAATACTGAAAATACTGTTAGAAATCTAGTTTATTTCTGGTTGAAAACAGTATGTCCCACTCAGAAAAAGAATAAGGATGAAACCACGTATAATAAAAATAAGCAAACTGTATACTACTTAATTAATATGTCAAAAGCATTAGCCAGGTGTTTTAATTTGGGACTTGCCTGTAATCCCGTGCCTTTGGGAGACTGAGGTGAGTGGACTGCCTGAGCTCGCGGGTTCGAGACCCGCCTGGGCAACTTGGCGAGACCTCATCTCTACAATAAATAAAAAATTAGGTGGGTGTGGTAGCGTGCAGCTGTAGTTCCGGCTGCTTGGAAGGCTGAGGCAGAAGGATCGCCGGAGCCCAGCAGGTCAAGGCTGCGGTGGCCGGGAGCGGCCACTGCACTCCAGTCTGGGTGACAGAGTGAGACCCCAACTCAAAAAAAAAAAAAAAAAAAGGAATTTTTAAGTAGTGAAGCATACACACCTGGCCACTTAAACAATGTGTCTACCCAAATCTGGTTATTTAAACTGCAGTTTCTCACTGCGTATGCAACCAACGTTCAGGGTGAGCGCTGATGGGACCTGCTGTGGTCACGGACGTATGAAGTCCGCATTCTCCGCAGGCATGCCCAGCAGTGCCCCATTAAAGCCCCGGGACAGATTCTGACTAGGATGCCAGTCGCTCCTCTGTAAGCTTATCTCACTTTGGCAACAGTAAGTGGATCATATGATTCAACCCCATTTAAACATGGCAGTGAAAAAAAAAACAAACCCAGAAATGAAGGGGAAAAATTCCACCTAAGTGAAGTAAGGAAAGATGAAATTAAAACAAGCATGTTTTCCCAAAATAACTTGTCAGAGAAGTTATTAGGGAAAAACAAAAACCAAAATCTCTGAGGTCAAGAACTGAGTCCCACCAAATAACATGGAGTTTAAGGAGCTGATGAAAAAATGACCAAGAAAGCACTAAAAACAAGCAGTGGACGGCAGCAGATTTCACTAGTGTTAAAGTGCCAGAATTCACGCCAAGCAAAACCAGAGCTTTTACATGTAGGCAGTCCTGTCAAGCTCAATTTCTTCCCTGTCAGTCGTCTGACTAGCCCCTGTCTCCACAAAACCGGGTTCAACAGACTACAATATTAATGATATCAATTAGTTTTATGTCTTGACTTTTACCGAGAAGAATCATTCTATGAAACTGTGTAAATATGTAACTAAGTTGTAATGCTCAACCGTATTGTACAGTTACACAATTTGGTACTTGCTGAATTATATAGTATACCTTTTACAAGATAAGGTACAGATCTAATTGCTTAATAAATCACTACTGATTGCTTTGGAATGCTTGGAAAGTCAGAGAGTCCATGATTCAAGCACACAACTGTAAAAATACATTTCTATCCATCCCCAGAAGAAGTAAAACCATGTAATAAAGACAGAATGAAGAGGGATCTCAAAGTCTCATTCCTCTGCATGCCATTCTCTGAAAGTGCAGGTCAATTTTTTCTTTCTTTCTGAGGTCCGATCTCACTCCTCAGGGACATCCATAAACTGCTCACTCTACCAGCCACTGGACTGGCGGACATTTATTGTACCGAATCTGCATCTGGCCCGGTGGGTATCAGCTCCACACAACACACTTTTGGAGCAAATGTGGGCACTGGCCAGACATGGGTTTCCCATGTCGCATTTCACGGTGCCTTGTGGGAAGATACATACCTGTGTCCCTCACAAAAACAAACGAACAAAAAAACGGAACCATGGGAAAGCCCGTCTGCCATACCTGTTTCATTAAAAAAATATCTGCACTATTATTTTTCCTTTTCTCCTTTAAAAAAGTCTGGTTCATGTGCTTAGTAAAATGCCTGTCGGTTGCATACCACGGGATAATCACAAACCATCTACTCTTCAAAGTATCAGTATCTACAGGTGGATGCAGGGGCCAAGGATTATAAAAATAAATGAAAGCAGTTCCAGAAACCACCTGGGAGAGAGGAGAGAAGAGGGAGGAGAAACAGAGCCCTGGCCTGCACAGCTCTCCCAAAGAGAGTCGCCTTCTCTCAAAACTGCTGCGAAGACGTCAAGGAACAGACTATTTGTGACCCCACCCCTCCTGCTGTTCATTTCTATAAGGGCTCTCCAAGTCATGAGCTCAGCCTCCTCAGCTTAAGGTGTCTGTGACTCAGTCAGATGGTACTGTAACATCTACTATAAAATATATCATTATATTAATATGATGCACCACTCTCAGGTGCCTGGGCCAGTCTCAGGTTTCATTTCCTTAGTTCTGTAGCGGAGCGCAAACTTGAGCCTTCAGTTCTGTCTACTGTTTAATGTAACATGAGACAAGTCACCACAGACACATGTATCATCTTAACACACACCAGCTGTCCTACAGAGCTACACACTTGCTAAGGGTGAAGAGGTAAACAAGTGACACACTCACAAGCAGCTGTGTGACCCAAGGCAAAGGAAAGAGAGGAGAAAGGTCTAACGGCTCAATGGCAACAAACCCACAACTCTTGTGCTGAGTCTGTTAGTAGAGCTCATTTCTCCCAGTTTAAAAAAATGAAATAAACGTCAGAAAAGGGCAAACTGCCTATTTTTTCTTTCATATTCATTAACTCTTAAAAGTTAAAGTAAGAAAAAATATATATTTAAATGGAAAGTATACCAATTTCACTTTATTAGCCTAATGTAGGAAGAGGATGAGGAGAATTGGGGCTGAGGTCAGGCATGAAAGAAGAGGATTAAAACTTGTGATGGTTACGATCCCTTAGAGCTCTGGTGCAGTTCCCGGTCCCCGCAGCCGGACTGTCAGTAAGAGGCTGCACCCGCAGACTGGTGCCGAGTCCCACCTCGTCTCTGTCCAGTGGCTCCACTTACAGCGTGATGAGGTCCACCAGGTTGCCTTTAGGAGGGGTCATGCTGTCAGGAAAGAAATTTACTAAGGTGTCAAAGAGCTGAGTTCTTTGCGCATAGGTGTGATCCACATCCGAAAAGCCTGGTGAGGAAGAGACACAAAGAAAATCCATAGTGTTTAAAATGTCCAACACAAAAACTAGTAGAGATCAGAGCAATGTATCCACTAATGGAAAAATCAACTCAGGTTTCAAAACCAGATGCATGCTTCTGACGTGATCTCAGTTCCACCACCTGGCATCATTTGGTGTAATGGTGGATAAATCAACCACCTTTCTGGCTTTTAGCCTTTCTGTTTCCTCAGCTGCGAGCCTGTGATAATCCTGTTCACTTTACAGGGTTATCGTGCAGATTAAACGATTTACATGAAAAGCATTTGGCAGAAGAACTGGCACTTTAGTAACTACACAATACTGACTTCTCGCCTCTGCTTCCTTACCAGGTCTGTCCTCTGCTAGTCCACTGAGGAAATTCCACTTCTCTTTTCTGACTTTTTAATACTTCTGTACCACTAAAATTTTTTCATAGTAAAAACATAATAAAATCAAAATGACAGGGGTCTTTTAAAAAAGTGGTCTAAAACCAAGGCCCTGAGAGCTAGTAGTCTTGGAGAACTGAGATGGTTAAGGGAAAGAAATACTGGTTCAATAAACAGAATGAGACCATGGCTTCATGGGACTAGTACCTAGTTTTATGCTAGGTACACATCATATGAGAAACAGAGCAACGAACTACTTTTATTCAGATAAATATAAAAAAGCAGATTGACATTTTTAAAAGGCAGGGACTGTTCATCTAAAGGATTTTTTCTCCCTTAACCTCTAGTAAACATTTAATTTTCTTTTTTTTTTTTTTTTTTTTTGAGTGGAAGTCTCACTCTGTCACCCAGACTGGAGTGCAGTGGCCGCTTCCGGCCACCGCAGCCTCGACCTGCTGGGCTCCGAA